CTGACTATACATTTTTAGTGGACCGAGATCAGAAGAAATGCCAAATAAATCTTAAATTGTATAGAAGGGTTATAGTTGGTAGTTACGTGTGTTATTGTTTTGAATTGTTTTTTCTGTATATAGGATTAGGAGCCAAGGATTTCATTATAAGGAAAGTAGTGATATTTTTTCATTAAGTTAAAGCCTTTAATGTTAAATCTGTATTGGAAACATTAATATACACTCAGTTTATATTTGACTATATTTTTATTTATCTGTCTCTCTATGTCTCTATCTCTCCATCCATCCATCCATCCATCTATCCATCCATCCATCTTTCCATCCATCTATCTTTCCATCCATCTATCTATCCTTAACCCAGAAACAGTGATACTCCAACAGCAGTAAGCATACCTAACCACATAGATTTTGGTTCCTAAGTACCAGTGATGTTTTCAAATAAAGAGGCAAAGGAGAGTCTTCTTTGAAAAATAGCTAATATCAGATTTCATTTGGAGAAAGAAAAGGTGAGCCTGTGGCATGCGGCTGTGACAGAAAATAAAGACATATGTCAAAAGCTCACAGGATCTCGATGTAAAGAAATCATGCTGCCCAAAATTGGTACCCCCAAAAGAAAAGTGATCATCATTTATTAGAATACCTTAAAATCACAGTGACATTGGAAAGGAATAAAATTATGTAAAGTAGACAAAATGCATACCTCTTCTTTGGAGAACAAGGCTGGCTTATAACTACAAAAGGAATAATATAATTAGAAGGTCACCAATTTGTATCCTTCAGTGTTTACACCCCCAGTCACTGACATAACCAAGGACTGTCAGTGGGGGGTAGAACTGTGACGTGGGAGGTTGTTGGGGAAGAGTTTATTTGCACAGTGCTGAAGTATCACTGCTAAAGGCAGAATGGTGGCCTAGCAAAAGGTATCCATATCCCAATCCCCAGTCCTGTGCATATGTTAGGTGATGCGGCAGAAGGCAATGAAAGTCGCTAATCCTCTGTCCTTAAAATATGGGGATTGTCTGGTTTCTAGTTTGAAAGCAATGCAGGGGATAGGAGGAAAATATAACACCCGAGAAAGCAATAAGACACATCTAAAATGAGGCATACTCCACAATCAATCGGCCTAGCGTCTTTCAAAAGTCAATATTATTTTAAATAAAAGGTAGGATTGAATTCCTCTGGCTTAAAAGAGACTAAAATGAAGAAGATGAAATGCAAGAACCTAACCATCAACAAAAGTAAAATATTAATACACACTCAGAAGCAACTAAAACCTAAGGACAACCCACTAAGACACTATGATGCACTGAAAACAAAGTTTACTTCCTGGAAACAGGGAGGAATTTCAACCATTTGCTCACACACCAGACTGGCAGGAGCTTTGCAGCATTGCTCAGCTTTTGGGAGCAGCCAGACTTCCTGGCTCCGTACTAGATGAAGGTCTAAAGTAAACTCTCTTGGTGTGCTACTTTTAGTTTTATCGATATCACGTTAGTACTTTTTCGTAACTCATTTAATAGCCACCAACATCCAGTGGAAATCCATGTCATTTGCACATAGCCAGGGCAGAATGGATTCCAAACTTTGACGTAAGTGCTAGGACCTCACAGAGGACTGTTAACAGTCCACAGCTGGATCAAAGCCATCACTTTGAGAACTGCTTCTTCAGGGCCCAAACATTGTGGTAAAATATGGTATCCTGTACATCAGTTTAATCCACACTAAGGTCAACTGTTAAAATACTAAAGTACAGTTGCATGGATTTGTGTGATGCATATATACCATTCAATGTTTCTCACTTCTCTTTTCCAAAAGATTATTTCAGTTGATGATTCCTCATTGTTGCTCATTTTCTCTTGTGCTCTTTCCCATGAATCCTGACTCTAAAAAGAATGAACATCATCAGTTCAGAGCTAACATAGAAATGATCAAAATTGGGGACTTCACGTGCCCAGAAACATAGGCTCATGTTGATTTTAACTTGATTCCAGGCAGGAGGCAACTGGACATAACTAGCATCACCTTCTTTGACCCACTTTAATATGTACTTTAGGACGGTAATGCTCTTAATGAGCTCCATAAAGGCATTGCCTCTGTAGATACACAGGTTTCCAAGATGGGAAGTTCTGTTATGAAAAACGTTAAAGAACAACCTCCCACCAATGACTACCATATCCTTTCCCCTTTAAAGTACAACATCGCTGCACTTGAGTGAGTCTAAGAGACTCGACACCTGTGAAAGTAATGGGATTACTCTGGCACCACAGTTCACTGGCTAGCCTCATTCTGGAAAATTCATCTTCCTTAGTGTTGTTCTAGTAAGGTGAGACAGCCCTAACCTGTGAGAAGAGAGTTCTGATGCTCTGCAAGGGAGGGGCCTGGCATAGCCCCAGAAAGGAGGCATGAGCAAACTTGGAGAAGCAACTGAGTAAAACAATCTAAGATTTGCCACTAGACCCAGAAGAGTTGGATATTTTCAGTGCTGTGATGGTGTGAGAGGCTTTGTTCACAGTGTGCAGTATGATGGGGGATGCAGACATTCACACCTGCCTACCTCTGGGTCTGGCCAAGAGGGAATTCTTTTCTTAGAACTGTTTCATTTAGCAGCCATTCATCTCACTGTGTGGCAATCACTATACTAAATCAAGAAATGCATCATAGACTCCACGCTTGGGTTCATTGACCAGTAGGAAAGAAAATGTAAGCAATGCTCAAACATTGTATTTGCGCGCAGTGTTGTGTTTGAGTTTGTACAGGATAAGGGACTGGGGGAAAGAAAGGGGAAAGACAGGTATAACCTCCTAGGGCAGGGAGGGTTGTGAGGTGAACCCTTCTGTGAAGGTAGGATGCCTTCATGGAGTTGCAAAGGATTGGTATCCACCCAGACCAAGAGAACAGGCTAGCAGCTGGGATGTGTCCAGTACCTATAAGGGATTCGGGATAGCACAGGGGAAGTGGGTGGTAGGAGCTGATGCTCAGGGTCATGAAGAACGTTGTGAAGGCCACGCTGTAACAGGCAGATGGCATTTTAGGCACATCCTGGAGCAGCAGTGTGGCAGCAAATGGGACGGGGACAGGAGCTGGAGGACAGGGATGCTGGTGAGGTGGCTGTGATGGTAATTTCAGGAGCGACCTCACGAAGGACTGACTGAAGAGCAGGGCTTGTGCTGAAGACATGGGGGAATGAGTACAAATAGAAGTGAAAAAGTGAAACCAACACACTGAAAAGTCTTTTGTCCTGGACAAAAGGCTGGAGGTGCAGGGATTGGGCGGAGCACACAAGCTGTGCTGGTGTTTAACAGCCACAGCTAATGCCAGACTAACAGGCATAGCTCAGGGCTGCTGAATAATTGCAAATAAAAATTGTGGCTCTATGACATGGATATACTTTCAGTTCCCACTGACTGTCAAGAGATAGGCTGTTGGCACTTATCCAGGGAAGGATGATAAATATTGGAAGGGCCTGATTCTATCATCAGAACATGGCAGAACAAGGGAGAGGGCCAGTTTTGGGGAACAAAGAGACCTGCTTATTGGAATCTTATTTACAGAAAACATATACACATATTCATAGATATCTGAGTAAGCATGTCCATTTTGTCATTGATAAAACAGTGAAAAATTGAAAGCAAGCTAAATCTTCATTGAGAGAGAACTGTTTAATTAAGTAAAGCATGAGGTAGCTGTACGGTGAAACCCCAAGCAGATGTTTGTATCTGTTGTAAATCTACAGGACCCAAAATGGCACCATATCTGAGATACAGTGTTCAGAGAAAGGGCAAATTCCTGATGAGAATGTATTCCATAGGGTGTGTTTGGAAATGCATAGGAAGACCTTCCTTGGGTGCTTCCTGCTGGGAAAGGGATGGGATTCACAGGCTGGGGGAAAGGGCACCATCACTATAAACCAGCGAGTCGAACAAGGTCATCCACAGTGATGAGCACAGGAAATGCGGTCAGTGCCACCAAGGCACTGAGTTTCAATTTTTATTAATTGAAAGGTAAACATGCCTTTCTTTTGTAATCATCAACAACCAGAGCAATGATCAAAAGTAAGTGGGTGGGGCAGAAAGACTCCCTGTGTAAATATCTGAGTTCAAATTCCTCTCGCCTTCCTCATAGAAAACAGGTCTTACTGCTTGGAAGCTGCATACGTAGATTAAGTTGATGAGAATATATATACACACCAGTTAGAGGGGACTTACAGAAACGTCCATAGGGAGAGAGCAAAGAAACAAGCCCCAAAGTTCTGGACTGTGATCTCCTCTTGTTTCCAGGCACCACATTTCTCTCCGGATGCCACATTGTCCAGTCCTACACCTCTACCTGACTTGCCGAGTAGTTGAACTGAGGGGATGGAGCCAGCCTTGGAGACACCCGATGTTAGAATATGAGGGCGTAATTTCTCTGGTGACAGACAGGACCACCTTGTCATCCCGATCCTAGAGCTCTGAATGCCTCGGTTGTGAATCCCAGAGAGTAGTGGCATCTCAAAGAGTAGATGAGCGAGGCCGTGGAAGCCCATTACCCTTCTGCACGTTGCGTGCATTTTAGTAACCTACATAAACCTTTCACTCTCTGACGGTGGCGAGGTATGCAGTTTCTAAAAGGTAGCGGTGTACCTGCATTCTTAGTGACCAGTGGGCTGATCAGAAAGGAGAGGAGTGATTGATTGCCTTCAAACAACGATTTTCAAACTTTAATTCATGGCACACATAAACTAATCACTAAAACTCTGTAGCACACCCAAAATATATTTTTTGCCCCTGTGACCAAACGTGGGTATAATTTTCATTTACTTACACCAGGTGGTCATTGTTGTGCTGGCTGTTGTCATTTTTTAATTTAACAATTTAAGGAGAAAAAAGGCAGTGCCCCTGAATGGATAGTCAGGCGTTGCGTGTGTGGAACATTCCTGGGGCGCACCAGTCTGCTGCAGCCCACCAGTGAAAAATCACTGCCCTGGAAGGTACTCACCATAGACAGTGTCACGGACCAGTCTGCGCTCAGTGGGTGCCCATGAAGCCCAGGGTGGACCTTACGAGGTTCAGAGATGCTTCTTCGAGTTATTGGATGTTCCACCACTTGCTGGAGAAATTGCAAAAATAAGGACACGGAGAATAGCTATTGTTTTGAGGAGGAGTGCTTCAGCATTGAAAGATGACACAGTTTCAGAGTTTAACGCTTGGAATGAGAAAAGCAGGTTGCGTTTTTGTCCACCAAGGGCTGGGGAGGGTGGAGTCAGCGTCCGTGTTCCTGAAGGCAGCCTGAGCCATGTCCCTTAGACACACAAGAGACGCAGCCCTTTGTATGTAGCCTAACTTCTGTGTACCAAGATGTTCTTATTTCAGAGCAAAGAGAGTCAACAGAAGGCAAGTAGCCTCTTAAAGAACTGGTTAGATCCCACATCCCAAGAAACAAATACTCTCACCTAAATCAGCCTACCTGTAATAACAAAATGTAGATTTGTTTGACGCACTGTGCTGCGATATTCGAAATTGCTAATAAGCCTCTCAAGCTTGCTTTCTACATGAAAAGAAATTAAATCTGCCTATTGTAAAGAAATCACACCAGCCTAGGAGGTATTAAAATGCACGATGTTTCTTTTTAAGTACTTTCTTAAGGAAGGCCTTTAGGAATATTTGAGAAACGATGTGAAGTTTGCTGCTTTTTTTAGCCTTAGCAAAGCCATTTGTATTTACAAATGCCATTCTGAGAGGCCTCTGGAGTGGAAATGGCATCTTCGCAGTGCGTTTAAACACTGGCCTGCCTCCATGGTTGGGTACGGGGCGTAATGCTGAGGGTTTCTGCTCTAACAGAGTAATTGCTGGAGAAGAGAAACCTTTTCCGACATGAGACCTCAGAGAACAGGCCATTAAAAAATACATTCAGGGAAAGTCACCATTTGTATAACTGATCAATTTAGCACGTTTGAAATGTGTCACTTTACAAAGGGAAGTCCTTATAAACTTGGAATTGTACATGGTTTTGTTTTTTCTTTTAAATCCCTTGTTTAATCCGTCATTGAAATGATGCATCAATTTGAATCTCTTTTAACTTGCATGACATCACGCCCGGTGGGAGAGAGCTGAAATTAATCAAGGTAATTCTGTTGTATGACCTACGTTGGCATTTTCACTGATGGAGCCAGGAAATGGCCTAGCTAATAGTCCATTTTGGAGTATTCTAAGATCTTAGCAATTCCATATTTAAGGAGGTTAATAGGATACTAATTGGGGCCTAGGTGAAAAGTTCACAAGGAAAATGAACTCACCTGGAGATGAGGACTTCACACAGTCCGGTGACCTCCCCTTTCCAACTACACCCCCGAATGCCTTCACATTGGAACTCAGAGGCAAAGACACCGCGCTCCTTGGGCGGCTTGCGCTCCTGGCCCCTGGGTAACAATGGTGGCCAAACGCCAGGGTCACAGGCCACTGGCAAGATCAGCATTCTGCCTTTTATGAAACGGAAGTAAGGAAAAAGAAAACACCAAAGAGAGAAATCCATATCGAAAATAAGGCCTCTTCCAGAGCTGTTATGAACTTTTAGGAATAACACATGTTTTGTGAAGAAGTTTCTTTTTTAAAAATATGAAATTCTATTCATCACTTCTGCAGAAGTAGAGTTAAACCATTATTTTGTAAAAACAAACATGAAATCCTAGACATGGCTCATTATTGACTAGCTGCTGTCTCTATTCATCAAGACCAGCACTGAAGAGATGATACTATTCTTTCTCAATTTTCTCCCCTGTACATATCTGCAATAACTCCTGGCTGACTTGGGGGGTTTATCCATATAAAGAGCAGTGCTCTGATATATCTCGGCGCTCCCGACTGCCTTGTGGCCCCTCTGGCAATGTTAGGCATTATTATTTCTCACCTGGCCCTCATTATAGAGCACCCAGAGACAACACGCTGTGCTTCCCTCAATATTTCCTTAGCTTTTTATGTACAGAAAGAGTTAATCATTGTCCTGCCGTAAAGGCTTATGGCACGTTTTTCCGTCTCCCTCTCAATGTGCAATCTATCTTCCAACTTTCCAGAAGCGGCCGAGATGTTTAAAAACAGCTGTAGTCTGCGGTCATTGATGGTGGAGTCGATTGTTTGCCAAACTATTACCATAACTGTCAACCGAAATCAGAAAAATAATCTCATTGTGCTGGACAGATGCGTTTCCTGCATTATTGATATAGTCGCTCCAGAGTAATAGAGAAATATAAAGCATTGTTCTATTTACACAAGGAGATTGGCCAAGTCCTTGAAAGTGAGCATGAGGGACAGGCACTTACAGGAAGTGAGATATAGTCAACTCGGTAAAAGTTATGTGTCAGGGCCATGTGACCTCTGGAGTCAGCAGTAGAATCTCAGAGCTCTCCCTCCCCGCCCCCCACCCCCAACCTGGCTTTCAGGCCACTTCCATGATTTGTTCTCAGACTGAGAGCACTCTCAGACCTGATGGAATTTGCTATGCATTCTTTCTCTCTCACCCCCTTTCCCCAAGTATGTAAACTGTTCTACTGTGTTCTACACACACCTCAGGGAAGCTAGGGAACGACTCCAGACTATTACATTACAGAATAATTGAGTATGTTTAATTCAAGCAGATGATTTCAACATTCCATGGGAACAAGGAGTTAAATACACCTTATGCCTCCTGGCTTTGCAAGGAGGGTCAGCAACCGCTCCGCCATAATTTGAGCTAGGAATAATGCTGAGTGATTGTATTTGTTGAGCACACAAACCGTGAAGTACCAGGCACTTCACATTTATTAACTCTAATCCACAGAACATGCTGGCCAAGGTAGGGATATCTTTTAAAGTCTCCATTGTACTGCTGAGGAAATCGATGTTCAAAGAGTTTTTGTAGATGGCCCAAGGAGGTCACGCAGTTCTTAAATAATTGATCTGGACTTTGAACCCAAGCCTAACTGCAGAGCACAGTTACCCTGGATCAGGTTTCCTTCCATTTTATTGAGGCAAAAATGTATCACACATTGGGATATTTGCTTCTGTCCCATGCACTTTCCCCAAATATTTAGAGCAGCACCAGAAAAGCTCTTTTCCTTACACAAACAGAAGACTGTCATTGCTACCCTATCCATGCACCAGAGGGTGTTTAAAGAGATGGGTGGAGACCTCAGCCCCCATTCTGAGTGAACCCATCACAAGCACTCAGACTCTGCCCTTAATAAGATAGCCCCAAATACTTTTGGGTGAAAGTTTGTGAATTTCTGACACTTTCATCCTGAGCACCAGGTGGACAGCCAGGAAGTCTGAATTCTACCGAGTCAAAGCTGCTGTGGCTTACCTTTCTCTCTTTTTATGAAAATGCATAATCCTGACATACTTCTTATCGACAGTGTGGGAGTTCATTTTTTAACCAACCCAGAAATACACTGTAAGCAGAAATTCCTGTGAACATGTTGTACAGTGTCCTTAGTGGAAATTTAAAGTGATATTAAAATTAAAAGCCATGTGACAAATGAATTCGCTCTCCTCCAAAGTTCTGTTATCACTGCTGTTTTTTTTCTTTTGTTAATTATTATTTCCAGGGAAATGGGTCAGCGCTTTGAGATTCTGAGACAAAAGTAGGCATGAGTAATGAAGCGGGTTGGAAAGTCCCGTTTGTTATAGGGCTTTTCTCACACTATTTACTTTAGTTCCTCCCCAGGCTTGATGGCTTTCATCCAGCCATAGCCTGGCTTTAGTCACACCCTCGTCTTGTTATAAGGAGACTGCAGAGTACAGGACACTCTGGCTGGCTCTCCTGCATGCAGTCTCAAGACTGTGGCCAGAGCCCTGGCTGGGTATCTCAGTTAGATGGGGCGTCATCTCTTCCCACAGAGGTTGCAGGTTTAATCCCTGGGTTGGGGCACATGCAGAAGTCAACCAGTGAATGCATGAATAGGCGGAACAGCAAATCAACATCTCTCTCTCTCTCTCTCACACACACACACATTAATCAAAAGCAATTTTTTAAAAGTTTAGCATCAGAAGTAACTGAGTGAATTAGCCATCTTGAGGGAGGGGACCACAGGCACCATTTTGGAACCAACTACCTGCGGAATACAGGCCACAGGTCTTTCTGGGGCTACAACAGACAAGTTCTGCCAGAGCTGGCTGTTTTCCTTGCTCATCTGCTGTCTTTCTGACTGAGAAATGCTCATCCTCTGGTAAGAAAAGGAAAGCAAACACCACAAATCTGAGAGGCAAAGAATGGTGATAGAGGAGCCAAAAGTGGAAGTAAGGAAGGAAATGAAATAGTGCAAAATAGAATTTGGTATTTAAAACAAATTCAAACAAGGACACCCCTCCCCTCAATGTACCACATATACGTATAGACTTCTCATTTTCACAGGTGTCTTGCCTCCTTTCTCAATGCGTTTTCTTACAACAACATATACTAGAAAGATCAATTACTTAATAAAGCCCATTTCTGAAAGGTAACATTTCCCCCGAAATACAAAAGTAAAATAAAAATTATACAAATAGGCAAGTGCTGGGTTTCCACTGCCCCCTACCCACTCCCCACCCTGTTCTATCAATTTTGTAGTGAGGATTTAACTATCATGTCAAAATCTACAAATATTTTTTGTTTCCTTTTAAATATGTTTTTTGTTTGTTTATTTCATGTGTTTGGAAGGTAAATATGCATTTAGGGTAATTAGTTTTTTTCTTGATGAATTGATTTTCTTACTACTATGAAATACATCTCTATCTCTACTAACACTCTGTCTTAGGGTCTACTTCGTCTGATATTGATGTAGCTGCATTCGCTTTCTTACACTTATTGATCGAATAGTATATCTTGTACTCTTTTATTTTCAAACTCCTGAGTTTTTATATTTAAAGTGTATTTTTTTATAAATAGCATATAAATAGGTCTAGCTTTCTTTTAAAATCCAATCTTATAATCTCTGCCCCTTAATTGGAATAATTAGTCCATTTGTATTTAATATAATAATTGATATTTCTTAAAGTCATCTTTCTGTTTGTTTTCTTTTATCTCATTTGGTGTTAGTTCTTTGGTGTGTTCTTTCCTGATTTCCTTCATGGGGGGGATCCCATATCTTTTAATATTCTATTTATCTTGTATGTTGACTTTTTAAGCTATTCCTCTGTTTTTAGTGTTTGCTATAGAGATTAAAATAATAAGCTCTAAGTCAGTATGGTCTACATTCAAATCACATTATGCTACCTTATGCACAGTGTCAATTTCTTACCATAGTATCATTTGTCCTGGCTTCAAAGAAATATTTTCCCAGGACTTTAAATGCAAATTCTATGGACCAGTAGTTCACAACCTTTATTGTGGGTCACAGAACTTTTAGAAAAGCAGAGAAAAGCTCTGGCTCCCCTAACACATATAGCACACAGACAATCACATACAGTTTTCGTGCAACTCCAGGAAGTTTACACCTTCATGGAAGTCCAGTTCAGGGGCTGCTTGTGTAGGATCAAGTTTACTTTTTAACCAGCATTAATCTGGAGTCTGAGATTCTGAGACAGAATCTGAGATTCTGAGACAGATTCTGAGATTCTGAAGTGGAAGTTTGTTGACAGGACTTGAAAAACGAATCAGAAAGAAGAAGAATGAATCTCAGCAGAGGACTGGGGGTGGGAGGAAAAAGAAGAAACAATATAAATTAAGAACTATTCCAAAATTGATTTATTGATGTTTTTATAGCACCCAATTCTCACATTTCTGCCATACAGAGTGCCAGTATTTTCACCAAGTGCTATAGAGTTATCTTGAAATCTCCAAATAGTTCATGAAATTTTGAATGTATAAAATTTTATGACTTCTAAGATTTAAGCTTATATAAGATATAAGATGGGATTTAGATGTCGAACAAACTGGCTTCCAGATAGTTGAACTGATTTGCCTACAATTACAGGTGCAGACCCCGATCCCAAACTTTCAGTCTTTTCTATACTCCAGATGGTCGGATGCATTTCCGGTTCTCTTGTTGCCTAAAAACACTCCTTTTAGGCAACAAGTTCACTGCAGTTATATTTAGGTGCGAATGTAATTCAGAGTGGCAAAGTGGTTGCTCTGTAAGTAGAACTGGGAGGTGCGCTTTCCCGGAAGCTGGCCCCCAGGGCTCCTCTCCTGCTCTGAGCACTGGGGGCCTTGAGAGCACCTGGGTACAGTTAGTAGAGCAATTGCTGACAAATTGATGCATCCTCCAATCGAGGTGGGACTCATTGCCCTGCTTGTGAGCACCGTAAATTATTGCCTAGTACAATTTTAGATGACCCATGTCCATCTCATTGACAAAATTTGGCTTTCCTCACTGAGAAACATGGCACCCTGCTGAGATACAAGTAGATATATACCTGGACCAGGGTTCAGGTCCTTTCTGCTGACTTGCTGGGTGAACTTGAGGGAAAACTGCGCACCTCAAAATGTCTTTTTCACTTAAACTGAAAACAATGTCTCCTCAAAAAGTAGCTAACACTTACAAAATAGCTCTTAAAAATGTCTTCTTAAAAGAATTGTGATAGGAAAGTTCTTTTTGTCCTTACACCACTCTTTCTGAAACATGCATAGAGACTCCAGGAAGTTACCAAAACAATTAAGAATTGATGCAATTAACCTTTGTATTTTGGTTTTGACCCAGCCTTTTAACTGCCTTTTAAACTCTGGAATACCCAAGCCCAGAATGTAGGCGTGTTTGTTTATACATGCATGCACACACACATTCACACACACACACTCACACATTTACTCTTGCACACATACACCAACTGCAATAGCATTTTTAATTGAAAAGCATAAATTTGGACCGCTAAATCTATTAACGATTTGTTTTAATTAGGAACCCAGCTGCTTCCGGAGATTTAGCAGTCTGGGTTTCAGAACTTTTGCCATACTGAAAATGAGTCTCAAGTGGGTTGCTTCAGTCTTTCAGATCAGCATTTTTAAAGACTTGTTGGAAAGGTAACAACAAATGCTTCTCTGCTATAAAATCACAGCTGCCTTTGTCCTTGGGTGAGGACGGGGCTGCTTTGCTGGTGTAGCCAGTGCCCTGCCCCTGACCCCTTCACTTGGACATGTCCAGTGTAGCAGGCTGCCTGATCTTTAGATCACCTTGCTTGTAGACTTGCCAACTTGGCTTACAGAGATGCAGCATCATGGTTAATTTCGAGGTCCCTACTTATCCCACTATCGGTAGGGGGAGCTGTTACGTAATTGAAGTCAGCATCTGCTTAATTTTTTCAAATACTTCGCTAGCTGAGCTTTCTGAAAATCAGTTAAGTGAAGTAGGATCTGAGGCACAACAACATTTTTTAGCTCTTTTCTGGTGTTCAGTTAATGACAGCAACATACCTTGTTATTTGGGCAACGTCAAATGAAGTATATAACACATCCTGTGCATCAGTCAGCATGGAAGGTGTTCATTAGTCTCTTCACTCACTCACTCGTTCATTTATTTATCCCATCCTTATTGATTGCCTACAATGTAAGAATGCAAGGCGTTAGGAATACAGAGATTACTGAGGCACTGCTTCTGCCTTTCAGTTTATAGTCTAATGGCTAAAACACAGAAGTGGAATAAATAATCACTGTAGAGTGATAAATGGAGGTGTTTACAAAGTGCATTTGGAACATGGAGCAAGAATAAGTGTGATGGGCATGGAGGGAAGAAGGTGCTCAGGAGAGCTTTTGTGTTCAGGGCATCAGAAATGTGCTTGCTGGATATTGATTGCATGCATATTGAAGAAAGGAAGTATGAGTGAATGAATGAGTGAATGAAAACTGATTGGAAAGTGAGATGAAAAAGAGCAGGTGGTCTGTGAAAAGTGGTGGGGAAAAAAAGGTTAAGAAAAGGGCAATATGGTTAGTGTACCATGGAAGAGGCTGGCATGGCGCCCAAGAGGTAAGGTTCACAAGAGAAAAAAGGAACTGGTTCATGAAAGGCTTTTTGTGCCATGCTAAGCAGCTTAGACTTGGCCATCATGAAGCCACCGGACCAGGGGAGTGATTAAGCCAGATCCATGTTACACAAAGGTCATTTGGGCATTTGCTTTTACATGATGGTATAGGAATGTAAGACTAGAGGCAGAACAGAAAAATACTCTGGAAAACATTTTCCATGGTATGAAACTTAACTATAAGTCTGAACTATAAAGATTGTGACAGATTGGAAAGCTATTTAGAGAATAAACCAGTAGGACCTAGAAGCTAATTGCATGTGGGACATTAGCAACGTTTAAGGAAAAAATAATCTACAGTGTACTCCTCCATAAGTCCAGGTATAAGTCTCCGTAGAGAGCCATGTTCCCACACAGTAATATATACAGATCAGTTGTGATAGTTGCTTGATGCCTATTTGAAGAAGTCGCCTGGAAAAGCCATACAACAACTTAGAAAGACATAAGAATGGAGTAAGTATTTAGCCAATATGAATATTTGTATCAATTCAATTATACATGGAATATTTAGAAATACTCTATTTAAATTCAAAGAATGATTAACTTAGGCCAATGTATTGATCACTTTTCAAAGAAATTAGTTCCGGATTGATATGATAGGAAATAACTCTAGAAGTTGATGACTGGTAGCCTGTGGGGCCCGTCCAGTGTACACCTGCTTAGAAATAACATTTACTGAATAAAGTTTTATTGGAACACAGCTAAGCTCATTCACATACTGTCTGTGACTGCTTTCATGCTGCAATGGCAGAGTTGAGTCGCCACGACAGACATGGGATGGCCCCCAAATCCTGGCCCTCTATAGTGAGCATTTCTCAATCCCTGAAAGAGAGTATCAGAATGTTCTTACCTTGGAGAGAGCTGAAAACAGAAAATCAAAGGGAAAAATGCCTCAGTTATTTAGAAAACTGGTGTGCTGTTGTTGCATTGTTTCTGGGCTCTTGGATGAAGGAGGAGAAACGTTCAGGACTCCTTGGTAGGACACAGGTTCACGCAGGTTGGTGGTCGGTGTGCTTTGGGAGGTAGTACCCACCTGTGAGGCCAAGAGCAGCAGGTAGACACTTGGGGGTGACCTAGTGAAAACGTCAGTGGAACCTACAGGCATCAACAAGGTCTGGGCACCCCAAGAAGCAGCCACAGGAGGGCAGCAAAGTCACATGACATTAAAAATATTTACATGAGAGCAGTAGTCCTCAGAAGCATGTAGACTGAAAACACCATTTGGCATTGAGCGTGATGGCCACCAGTCTCCAGTGGAAACTTCTTCAGCCTGAATCTGTGTGCCCAAGAATCCTTCAGGGATCCAAATTAAGAAATAGTCATCAATAAGATCTGCTTCTGGGAGAAGCCAAATATGTAAAAGCAGGAAAGCACTTTGCTTAGGATGAGATGTGTCAGTATCAGGTACTGAGAATATGTACTTCATAGAGCACCATGGATACATGTCCATTAAGTAACTAATGTTCGCATTTTGATGGACTCCTTCACAGGAAGTAAAAAAGGTTAAGTTACTGTAGATCATTGCCCTTCCATGGAAAAATAATAGTGTCTTTTTAATATATTTTTAACAATGAGCCCTGAGAAATAGAGTAATTTCTTTCTCTTTTTCTGTCCCCCCATTTTTTAAATTTTGTGGCCCACCTGTGCCAAACACTGCACTAAAGAAGAGAGGGCTATAATATAAGACTAGAAAGGGAGTGATGGAGATATTTTATAATGACTTGAACAACAACAAAAAATATAGTAACTCAAAAAAAAAGAATCAAGTATTAAAAAAATTTCATCCGCACCAAGAATAATAACTGTCTCTGAAAACTTTTAAATCATGATTAAAACGTTCAGCTTTGTTTTTCCTTTCCCTTGCTTGTCCTAATGTTGCCCGTACATTAAGCCACTTCTCAGTTTTGCAGTGTTGACAAATGTCTTCAGAATCTTTGGTTTGGTGAACTAAAGTTCCTACTTTTCATGTAGACAAATTTGGACCTTTTTTTCTGTTACAGTTTATAACTGATTTTTTAAATGTGTATTATTACATGTTTCACTAAAGTTCTAATGCATTAGAATCCTGAGACCTACTTTACAGCTTCTCAAGTCATTTTTCGGCTGTGGCCTGGCCGCAGTTGACCCTTCCCTAATTAAGTCTTGCTACTGGTGGGTGTTTCCAGTTTGCGTGTAGATCATCTCTAATACATGTTTGATGAAACAACGATTTTTTTCATATCCCTGATATTTTGAGGAAAATGTTAATAATTATTTGCATCTTCTTGATCAGGGTCAATTTTAAGCAGATCTTTCCAAAGGAAGAGCAATGATTACAAACTAATTAAAACAGTTAAAATGTGAACATTGTTTTCTTTGATTATTTCCATAATTAAAGCCTTAGACTTTGGGAAAGGAAAGGAATTTTAGTAAAAATAACTAATGTAGTAAAATGATGGATATGCCTCTGTGTGTGTGTGTGTGTGTGAGAGAGAGAGAGAGAGAGAGAGAGAGAAGACGCTATAAAAAGCTGGGTACAGGCATTTATATCTTTTATATGTTGACCATCATCCATATAATCTCTAGAAAAAAAGTTCAAAAATAGCACACTTGAATGCTATATATACAACTTCTTTCGTGCTTCCCTTTAAACAGTTTCTCCAGGACATGCCTTTCTCGTTGAAATCCTCTGAGATTTGCTTATCAGATGTTTTGCCAGCCTCCCAGGGATAAAGGACTCTCAATTTAGTCATGATCCCCCATCAAATGGTGGAAGAGCGTGCCTAAATATCCAAATGGGATATTTGGATCCCCCCAAGGAGTCACAAGTAAAAGGGTCCCCAAGCCCAAGCAAGCAGACAGAAACCTCCGTAAACAAGTAGCAGGTCGGGGATTTTTAGCGAGGCAGCCGTTTTCAGCACAGAGCATGTTAGTGGTCTCTACCAAAGTCACTTTATCAACACTGAGGATGATTTTCCCAGTTCACTGAAAAATCTTGATGTTTTCCCAAATTCATTCCTCCGTGAAGGACACATTTTAGACTTATATGATCTTATGCTGTCTGATTAAAAACCAAACAAAAAGCAGTTGAAGAAGTGGAAAAAAAACAGAGGAAGAGAGAGAGAGAAAGAATTTATCGGGAACATGTGAAGCTCGGCACTCAAGTCACTATCTAAACATTTTTTTTTTGAGTCGCTTCATATGGGAATGTGGTTGAGCATAGAAGCTAAGGCTCTGCTTTTGAGCCGCTTACACTTTAAATAAGAAAAGACAGAGTGGTATTCCATTGTGTTGGTGATATATGGCCTTTGGACCTTTTAGCAAATACCCTGGGACTGTAGATCAGAAAAAATTATATAGCTATTAAGCAAAAGGAGAGGGTTCTTTTTTTTAGCAGCCAGTCAACCTGAAATATATGTATAAAGATATAATGTCTATGTTTCTACATAACCGAAAGAAAAAAAAAGGCACACCACCAAAAACTAGGACACACAAAGGACCTTATTTAAGAAGTTAATTAGGCCTTTAATTTAAAAGCTCCAGCCACTGATTTGTGTTGCTGAGGGGACGATTAATAAGAGACATACAGTTTTTAAAAATGAATTTTAGTGGCATTTAGTTAAATGGAAAAGAAAACTCCTGTTGATATTTGGATTGGTATTAAATTGCAACTATTTAGTAATGTAAGGAGAGTTGACAAATAGACAATGTTATTTTCCTCGTCCAGGATAAACTGGCTCTTCTCATTTATCCCTGCCTTCTTTTATGGTTCTTAAGAGGTGTAAAGCTTGCTCTGTGTGTGTGTTTATATATTTACCCATGTGTCTAATTGGGAATATATGTTCTTGTTGCCATTTAAAAAATTCCATTCTATTTTCTATCTGGTTATTGTTGTGAAGATCTTAAAGGTGCATCTGAGAATTATTGAGATAATTCTAAAAAGAGAATAGTATGAGTCTTGACTAAATTAAGCATGTAATAAAACATTTTATACAGGTACAATGATTATACTGGTGTGATACAGATGTATAGGTACAATGGTACAATACAATTATGTAGGTACAATAATGAAAGCAATCTGTTAGTACAGGTTAAGGAACAGACAGTTCAAAAGTACAGAATAGGGACTCCAGAAATAGAGCTTTGCATATGGAAATTTAGTATTTCATAAACTACCATTTCAAATTAGTGGGAGGAAATGTATTTATCCTGAAAATCAAGTCCTTTCTAAATCATGACACATGAGCCAAAAAGGAAAAGATAAATAAATCCAAGCACATAAAATTTAGAAAATTTTGATGGCAAAAATACCACAAATAAGGTAAAAATACAAATAGCAAACTGAAAAAGTTTTGACAGATGGAAGATTAATTTCATCAATTTATAAAGAGCTTCCTACACACCAGTGTAGAAGGCAGAAAAAATCAAATATAAACTTGAGCAAAAGATTCAAGAAGGCAATTCTCAGGAAAATAAAAACAAATGGATAAACAAAGGGAAAAATGCCAACCTAATTCCTTTTGAACAAATGCAAAATAAAAG